ACTTTTACTTTTTAATTAAAACCTAAATTTTTATTTTGAATCACAATTTAAATAATGTAATAAAAAAAATCGAAAAAAAAATTAAATGTAGATGTAGCAAAGTTTGAACCTGAGGCGATACTCAGCGGAAATTTCCATTTCGATGATTGAGAACTGAATCAGTCTCAAAGTTGAGAAAATACATCTCTCAGTAAAAACTATCTTAAATTTTAACCTGAGTATATTTGGTTTTGAACTTGAATGAACTTGAACAAATGTTCAAAGTCAAAATAAGAAAATTTTTGAGTAAATACTGTAAAAAAAATAAGGAAATCTGAGTTCTGTATTAAATAATAATTGCGATATACATAGTTAGATACTGAATTTTAATTCTGAGCACCTCAGTTAACAATATTAACTTTTTGAGTTTCCAGTGATTTACATTCTCAGAAGAGGATCATTTATTCAGATTAAGTATTTAATAACTTTAATATATTATCAAAGTTTCTAAAAATATATTTTTTTCTTACAAAAATGTTTTTTTATTAATGTAATTTTGTTTTTATTTGTACTTCTGCTTAAAATCAGAGTTTAATTTCAAAGTAATTTTTAAACTAATATTTTTTTAAAATTATAAAAACTAATGTTAATTTATAAATTCTAAAATCTAAGAAAATAGAAAATCTAAGAATTAATAGAATTATTATGAACTTGTGTGATTTTTGGTCACACCATTTCGACCCTGAGATAAAAAATAAATACAAGCTTAACAAAAAGTAAAAAGACCAAAAGACTCAAAAAAGTAGATAAAAAACGGCTTATTTTAGGAAAATAAAACAGGAGCACAAAGAATTAAGTAAAACAAAAAAAAAACAAAAAAAGAAAAAAGCTCTGTAGAATTTTTAACTTTATTTCAGAAAACTTTTTAAACACCAAACAATTCAAAATCTCAGAATTAATAAAATAATTAAACTTCTTTAGTTTTTGGTCACGAGAAAAGTACCATTTCGACCATAAGATAAAAAAATAAAAACCAAAATTCAGCTGAAATCTGAATCAGTTGAAGTAAGTTCAAGTCAGATTTGAATCTCTGCAGAACAGTATGATCCAAATTTCTTGATCAGATAAATTGAATTTGTATCATTACAAAATTTGGATCATTATAGTTTATATGTGAATGGATTACGTAGAAAAAAAAGTTGGTTTGGGTAGTGTGTAATGCATTTTTTTCCGGAAGTGATCTGTTGTTTCCGGTAAGGCTCGTCGATAAAATCGTCAAAAATCCCGCTAAAGTGATTTATTTTCCGCTTTGCGTTGTAATCGGTTTATACCGAGAACAAGTGTATCTATAACACAGTTTGTCTTAGCCTCACCATTCCAGCATCTTTCAGTTTATCTCTTTCTCTCATCTCTTATTCCTCGAATCCGAAATCACGACGTGCGATAAAAACTTTTCGAAAACGACTTAATCCTACTTAAGACGTTGGCAACATCTCGAATAAAAAAAAACACCGAAGCAGGAATCTATAAACGATGAATTCAAGTTTTAAGCCGTAATTGAATTCTACTGTATTGAGTTTACTTGAAGAGTTATCAATATTTATTTCCCCACGGTATCACATCGCAGCTGTTAATTTCTCATCTATTAATTATGAGTTGCAGTATTTATAAAGAGCGAGAGGTTTCTTATTATGTTGCTTATTCTTCGTCCGTAAACATCGAGGGAGAATTAAAATTCGCACAAATATTCGCATAAATCTGAAACAATTCGCAACAATGCGACGTATTACGAATATTTCGTGTTCTTATCTATGAAAAACGACTTCTTAAACGTTTAACTCGCGATGTTATTGCATGATGTGTACACACTCACTCGAAGTCAAAATAAATAAAGTCGACGCTTAAATACCACTTCAAACGATTTTCATTGCGTTTTTAACGATTATGGACCGACTAACTACCTGATTTAACTATTTATTTAGATTTTTCGACGGCGATGATTCACTTTTTCCTTGGCATCGATACAAATCGAACGCTATTCACAAACACAAAAGGACCAATAAAACCCCGACTCGAGTGTCTCTGACACTATTGGTATTCGAGATAAACGCTCAAAATTCGGTATTTTTGACCACTTTCTTTGCTTTATTAATAGAACTTAATGATCCTCATTTTGGTACTTAATATCGGGTGTTGGCAGCATCGATGATGACTCGGGGGAATTTCGG